GATGTGCACGTGGTGCCAGGAACGCTGGCCACCAGCCCGCCTTGTCTCTGTCCCAGTATGCGCCAAGCCAGGTTTCTGTATCTGAGCCTTTTCCTGCCAACAGCCCAGTAAGAGGAACAGTTATTAGGGGTGGTTACATCTGCTGGAAACATCTGAAATACCTTATTGGCACAAACTGCAGAAGGAACTGAATAAAATTCACCTTAAATTCCAGTTTCATGTTTTTGCTTACAAATATTTCTGGGGAAATACGGTGTCAGAGTGCTGCAGGATGTGATCTGGTGCATGAAGACCAGTCCTCTATAGAACAGCAGCAGTAAAGGAACAGGGGAAGGTGCCAGCTTTCAATACGCTTACGCTATGCTAAAACAGAGTAACTGAAGTACCCAACCAGAACTTCATTCTGTAAGAAAACTTCTGATCTGACCGTTTTCAGGTCCTATTTTAGAAGGGGTTAGGGGGCATGGTGATCAGAGAAAGAAACTGCGAGAGTGGTGGGTAAATAAGAGAGAGAATTCTAAGAAGTGGAGAAAGAAACAGGATAATTGCTTTCCCAGTCCATGTTCAACTTTGGACGGAAAACTCTTCAAAGCAGATACAAATCCAAGACAATGTCCATGTACTGGACTGTGCTTGACGTCAGTGCATTATGACACTTCCTTGGCAGTAGATGCTCTGCTCTGCAACATCCCTTGTCTTCAGCTGCTCAGAGAATTGTGAAAAACATTGCTTTGGGGATGACTCTGTCCCAGGTGAAATATTAATTTCAGTGGAAAAGCTCACAAAAATCTATTTAGTCATTTTTGCATTGACATAAACTGGGAAAATGGACTTTCTCCTTGTGAATAAGGAGCTGTCATGCCTGCATCAAGACAAAGACACCCAAAAAGACTGCATCTGAAAGCATAGCAAAGAGCAGTTCTTCTCCACACACACCTCAGCAGACTTCTGCTAGCATGCATGGACCAATACCTGTGTCAACAAAACCACTGCCACTAAATACATTGACTTACTCCCCAGCAGCATGACAGATATCCCTTCTCTTCTCAAAATTCCCCAATCCATCTCCATGTTGGCCGAGACATGAACTACCTTGCCTTCTCTCAACAGCACCTACATACACTCTGTCCTTCCTTACCTGTCTGCTCCAAAATTACAAGATCAGTTCCAGTAAAGAGGCTTGAATACAGAGAAAAACATTAATGTCAACATGAGTTTATTTAACAAATAGCTTCTCTGTTTAATCTTTTTTACACTTTTTGTTGTTTATGATGTAAAAATATGTAAAGATACCTGAGGAGATTCTTTTATTTCTGCATGCACACAAGACAGGAGATTGGGTAAAAATCAAGAACATTTATTATCACTTGTTTATTGCTTTTGATTTGCAACTGATTCAATCATTTGATCTTGGAAGAAAAATAATGCTGAACCAGTAACTGAAAAGCAAAGTGCATAAGTCTCCCCGAGTGCATGCACACTTGCATCAGCAAATGAACGTATCGTGCAGACAAAGAAACCACAATTTGTTTCCGAACAATTCTCAACCAAAAAAAAAAATCCTAACTTCATTCACAAGAGAACTGTTTGCAGTGAATAATTCAGCCATCTGCAGCATCCAGCTGGGCCCCATCCCTTCTCTTCACATTGAGTACCTCCTTTTTTTAGGTGTGATCAATGAACACCAGCATCAATTTGACAGGTTATGAGGCATACCACATGTGCTGGTCACCTGAGTGGGCATCTTCCAACAGCTCTGTAAGTGACACGCTACACTATCCTAGGACATATGTGTGGGAATCAATGACAACATTACTGGAATCCATTCATCATACTCTATGTATGGTATTAACCAAAGCTGTAAGTCAATATAAACCGTTCTAAACTGTATGTCTGGTAGTTGACATACTTTTAAAAAAAATGTTCTCTCTGTATTGCTAACGTTCCACCTTATTTTCTTGTTTTGGCAAATCCCATTCCCCGCTCTCCTCTGCAGAAACTCCCATACAACCCAGTATCATCAATGAAGCCTCTTCCTCCACTAAACACTGCAACAGTCGGGTTCCACTAAACCACTGCAATGTGACCATAAAAAAGAAAAAAAAAAATAGAGCCTTGAAATATGATTCCAGTTCCTTAAACAAAGCACATTAAATTTTGCTCTAATAAGGCCTCTCTCAATGGAAAATATTTAATGCAGAACACAATGGTAAAATTAATTGCCCAGGAAAAAACAAACAAACTGCACAAACCAGTCTTTGTCTATCACGCTTGCTGACAAAGGCCAAGCAGGACAGAACAGATAGTTAATTGTTTTCCAGATCATTGTGGCAGGTCTCTGAGCATTTGCACCTCCATTTGCCTGGACTGCCAGCCCTGCCTATGCCCCATTAAACACACAGGCAGAGTTTATACTTAAAAAAAAGGTATGTTCAGTTGGTAATTTCCACTAGGGGGAAAAAACTCAACACATTAGGGCTGTTTTTATCAGAGATTATTTTTAAAGCAGACTTGTTAAAGAATGTGAAATAAGTGGTGTTTTCGGAGGTGGTGAGGAAGGGTTTCCCCAGCACTCACACCACCTGTGCTGTGGAGCCCAGTGAATGAGGCAGACCTACAGTCACAGCTGCTCGCTGTGAGATTTACGGCCAAACTTTTTCCTTTCCCTTTCTACTGTAAAATGAATTACGAAGTACAGCCCATTCATACAAGAGAGAGGCCAAAATGCGTTTCTTTTATGCATTTAAAATTGCTCTCAGGCCTATTCACCCAAAAAGTGCTTTGAGGTGAAGAGACGTTTCTGGGGAAATAAAGACATGCAGCAAGCACTTGTGGATTCAGTTTCTTGAAGCCATATTTATCAACAACTTAAAAGGCTGAACTGTAGTATATCTTGAATAAAGAGAAATAAAAAGCTAAAATATTTTATATTGCTTTCCACTAACATCTTTTGCTCTTATTTGCGAGAATAAAAAAAGAAAGAAAAAGAAAAAAATTACTATTATTAAAAAGAAATACACCCTGGATTATACCAAGCCGTTACAAACATCATAGCAAGGAAGAGCTCTTTCTCAACATTAAAACTGCAAACCCCTCCCCATGCTGTATTTTCAATTATCAAGATTAATAGAGACAGTTCATTTTTTTTAAACATAGAAAAGGCTAAATAGATTTCCATATTCTGCTGCTGGCATTGCCTCAAAAGGCAAATATCCAAAATGTAGCAAAAACAAGTATTAAAACCAGCTTTTGCTTTTTTTCAGAAGCAAACAGTTTTAGCAAAGTAAGAGGCAGTCCCAGCCAGACAAAGTGGGTAAAAATAGTTTAAAGTATCATATTCTCATTAACCAGAATTACATCTCAAATCAACCCTTACGTAGTCATGGAAGAATTTCCTTCTCTTTCTCAGCCCTCTGATTTTCAACTCCTTGCACTGTCTCTTGACATTCGAGGTACATCTTCTCCCATCAGAGACAAATGTGAGAGCAAACATTATTTAAAACAGTTATACAAGTGTTTTTGTCTGCATCTGAAAGAGGCCTTTCACCTACTGAAATTGAAAAACTGTTTCCAAAGCACAAGGAGGCCTTGAAAATGTCCCATGTGTACCCTTCAGCATATAATTACAAAGATAAGAGGTGACATATTCATTTTGGTAAAACTCCATTACGCAGTCCTCCAAAGGCAGAAAAATCTCTTATTCACGTGGTATTTACTCCTTCAGACAGACATCACACCACATAACAGATCTATCCAAAAAAAGTCCAGTCTAAAATATGGCAGTCAACTGGATTTGCAAATCTTGTTCTGGTATTGTTACAGCTGGTATTTTATTACCACAACTTAATCACCTTCAAGTAATATAAACCACTCCGGAAGGAACCCAAGGGTTATTTCAGAGTATTTTTAGTATTTCTCATTTAATCAACATCAGTGTCTCTCTCTTCCCCTCAAGCTGATTTTCTCCTGAAAATTGTGTTAGAACAGCAAAAAAAGAGATGGAAAGGAGGCAAGCATTTCACACATTGAATAAGCTGGTCAAAGCTGTGATCATGCTTCACAACACTTCAGGGTCTCTGGAAGCAATTCGATACCCCCAAAAGTTATTCACCTTTTTATTCCTTACGAACATAAGCTGCAGAAATAACCGCCATGCACTGAATATTCGTTATGATTTAGCCTGGTGGCCACAGAGTGTAATATTTAAGTCAGAGTTTGCAAAACTATGCAGATTGCCATCGGTTGCTGCAGACCGTCTACTAAGGATGGGAAGTGAAAGGGCAGCCTTGTAGCCCGAGAGGCACAATGTGACAGCAACTTCTGCTGCTGCAAGTCACATACAACTGTTGCTCAGTCACCCACAGCATGATATATGTCATACAAGGCTGAGCAGCAGCATTCACCTGGAATGACTTCAGTTCATTTCTCTAAGTATTCCTGTACCACACTGTCCTCTCCTTCTTCATGCAAAAAAATGGGCTTTTTAAAACTTCCTTTCCAACTCTGCAATGCCCTCCCCAAGGGCGACACTGACTTGGTTTGGCAGGGACACAGGCACTACTTATGGTGCTGCTGAAAGGCGTCAGGAAAGGGACGACTCAGCTTTGCCTGGGAACTGCCACACTGCAGCTCCCTGTCTAATGGCCTTGCCCTCTGCTGCGGGGAGGCAACCGAAGGGCGGTGCACAAATGTTGCTGCTTCTCAAGGACAACTAACAGCCACCAGTACACGCTGAATTGCTGCTATTATTGTAAACAAAGTCCCTCCTCAAGTGCCAACCTGTGCTAGCCACAACTGTGTTTAAAAAAAAACCCAAAAACCAAACAACAAAAAGCCCAGTGTGGAGATTTTGGTGATTAAAGGACAATTTTGCATAGCTTAAGTCATTTGAAGAGCCTCATTCATTTCACTGAAACATTTGGGCACGTGAAAGCCAGCAAGCATTGCCTGCCACGTTCACGACCATGGGGAAAGGCAGAGGTAGCAGTCTAAGCGCCTACCAGGTCATACGCCGCCAGGACCTTTTTCTGCACGTCAGGCATGGTCCCCAGAGGCTCTAGGTAAGGAAACGCGTCCTTCATGCAGAGGGTAACGGAGGGTGCGTTGTCACTGCTCACGAGCCGTGAGGACAGGGTCAGGATGCACTGCTTCAGGCTCGCAATGGGCGGTAGCCCGCACAGCTCCTTGACAGACACCATGGCGTTCTGGAGGAAGGAAAAGAAAAGAACACGTGTTGCCGCTTGCCACCCGGTCCCCGCTGCCTGCCAGCTACCTCATCAGTGCCCACCTGCTTCTCCCCCTTGATGTGGGGCAGTGCTACCCTGCTGCCCACTATCCCCAAGCCCCCCATGGGCCCCAGGGTGCCGGTACACACAGGAACTCCTGGCCAGCCCTGTTCTCGGCTGCCCAAGCCTACTGCCAGCTCCAGCTCCCCCCCAGGCTCAGGTATCCCAGCTGCCAGCTCTGCAGCTACTTTGTATTGCAAATCCAGGCCCAACGGGGACAAGCTCCGGTCCCCAGCATATTACACCATCAGCTTAAAATGCTATTTCTCTTCCAAACTGTTCAGACTCCAATTGCTTTTGATGCTGTAATCTCCTCCTTCTCCCATCATTATCATGCTCCAGCAAGAACAAGTTCGACAGACCTCAGATTTCCCATGGGAAAGGCAAGCAGGAAAAAAAATACTTTGTTTTCAGTCTTGCATTACCACATCATAAAGAAACACAAACATTCTTTCCCCTTCATAGGTCACATGTAAGAAAATCAATACTGGATATACAGGTCAAACCGAACTAACACAGCAGAATTTATTTATTTATCAAGTCAGTGGAGGTATGGCTAACATGCCTTCATCATTTGGCTTCTCGAGTCATACAAGCGACCAAGATGCACAAAATCTAAGACAGTATTAACAACTCATAACCTGCAAATGTTCCCCCACATCATCTTGCTGAAAAAACCAGTCATCAGCAAACTCCCAGCTAATAAATAGAGGCTTTTCTCATTAATCAAATACAGTAGCATGCAGTTAAACCTAGCAACTGTGTCTTTGCGAAGCATTCCCCGGAACAAGATCTTGTATTGAAATTTTGTTTGGAAGTCACCTTAATGCAGTTTCTGAGTCAGATTCAGGGTATTTTTTGTTTACATAGTTCACATACATAAGCCTGACCTAGACAGAAGGTGGAGTCAGCAGTTCAAACTAGTTACTTTCAAGGCCTGCAGGAAAGGAAAGGCTGGGAAGAATTTCCCATTCTTAAAAATATGCTTAGACTATTCCTTTGGGAGTGATTTAAAACTTATGTCATTTTGTAAACTTTTCCAGTTGCCAACATTTAATTTGCTTTAGACTCTGTCCAGAAGAGTGGGGTCAATGAAGTGCTATGCGTTTTTCTCCTGTTTTCAAGAAAGAAAAATGAATTGTTTCTGTATCTTTACCAAGGAGATAGTTATGGCTGATTTCAGCTATTTATTAAAGAAAACTCATTGTTTAATGATACTCAGTTTTGTTTCTAGGCAGCGCCTGGACCTCAGAATTGAGCTGCTGCTTGCCGAACCCGCAGAGTCGCCCCTGCTGTGGAAGAGAGCATTGGGCAGGCTAGTTCTTACTTGGCCTCGCTGACACTCCACCTTCCTTGCCAACCAGGAAGGTCTAACCCGGGCAGTTGTGACGGTGCTGTGCACTTGGGGCCCCAATGCGTCCAGCCGTACTCGGAGCAGCATGGGCAGGTGGATGCGGTGCCAGGAGACCACCTGAGCCAAGACATGGCACAGGTGTCTGTGCCAGCACTCAGCCAGCCGAGACAACACAGCTATTTAGCAAGGAAGAAATTGCAATCTAAGCGGCATTCAGTGCCTGTGTTAAACATCTGCAGCCCTTGGGCAAATGGTGGCAACACACGCTCAGGGAAACCCGCTGCTCTTTGCACAGTGGGTTTCTCTGTGTAGACAAGACCTTAATGACACATCCACTGACTGTTTCTTATATTCACCCAGACAAAGAAAATTAAGAGCATAACCCTCACTCAGTTAGCAAAACAGAAGTTTGCTGATGTTTTCCAGGACCAGTGAGTAAATGAAGTTTTTGAGACCAGAGGCCTGGGGACAGAAATGTATCCTCAGTTCTGCTTTCTCAGAGAAAAGCAACTAGTAAAGCATGTGTCTGGAGGGGGCTGTCCTGGTTTCAGCCAATGTCAATTTTTAAAACATTTCTGCCTAAACCCATATTGGTTTGTTAGTCAACACTTGTAACTATCAGCCTTCCAATGTCCAATTAAAGGTTGACAACAGCTCTAGGTCTGAAGCTTCACCAGCTTCCACCAGCTTCAGCAAGTTTGCCCTACCGGCAGCTCACACCAGGACCTTCACTTCCACATTCAGGACACACCAACGCACATAATGAAAGTGTCATACCTGCATATTTTCTCTCATGTCAGTAGCCTCTCGTAGTGGATGCACTGCTAACTTAAAGATGTCATCGATAGTTTTGAGACCAGTGTTCCTCAACATGGTGTATTCCCTTGCTTTCTTTCCTATCCTCACCGCGAGGCTGCGCTTTTGGGCCTTCCCACCTCCACTTCGGTTGGTTATTGCAATGTGAACAAAGAGGGTAACGTGCTCCATGATATCACCAACAAAAGACCGCAGCGGTATGTGCCTGTATCCGGGCTGCAAGCACTCCAGCGGGATGGTGTACTGCCCTATGAACTCATCCCCAATGTAGTCATCATCTAAAACAACGAAACGGATCATGGCCAGCTCCGGTAGATTGATCTGGAACTCAAAGCTTTCATCAAAAATGGGATTATCACTGTTTTGCTGAACAGTTTTTGTTCTTTGTTCAGTGCAGTCTGCAGGAATCCCATGTATTTCTATGCAGACATAGGGGTCTATGACATCCCCTTTTGCACATGCACCCTTGGGCTTTGGAAAGTTCTGACCACTGATTATTTTGACATGTAGGACTTGGGGAGAGACGCCTGGAACAATGCCCTTGGTATTCGCACTGAAGTAAGACACTTCATCGCGCATCACTGAAGGCCTGAGAACGTACCCACATCCCCCATTCTGTAGAAACCAGCCAGTGTGTAGATCCATCATGGGCCCCGGGGTCTGATAGTTCATTGCTACTATCTGGCAACCACAATTCCAAAAATCTTGAGGATTTAAGTTACTGGAGTCTATCCTCATAGCACTCGGGTACACCCTGGACAGAAACTTTTTGTTGTAGTTGACAAAATCTTCAGGGTATTCATTTGCAATCCGACTGGCTTCTGCCTCACTGAAGGAGCACATTTCCCAATAATTTTGAGCTTTCATGGATGTCTCAAAGTCTTTGTATTGGACAGATTTGCATAGGGACACCAAGTCGGACAATTCCCTGCAGAGCCAGATCAGCTTTGGTTCCCTTGAGAAGTCCTCTGACAGTCTCCGGGATATTTCAGCCTCTTCATCTTCATCTGTGACTTCTCCTTCTAATATATCTTGGTCGCAGGGCAGCTTCTTCCCCTTCACAATGATCTTCATTTTCAGTTTCTCTGGTGATGGGAGGTAGACTTCTGAGGATAACGGTGCCTCTGTGTAGAGTTTGTTTCCAAAGATCCTTTTCATGTGTTGTACCACTACCTTCTGCTGTTGTACTGAGCAGTGGTTCCCCAAGCAGAGAATAAGGGGGTATTCTGAAGCAAAGAAGGCCAATTTGTTTATTACCTCAATAACATTTCGAAAGGCAAGTGGCGATGTCATGTTGTTACGGTTACAAATAATGGGTTCATTATCTGGGCCATCACAGACATCCAGTTCAATACTTCGACAACTCATTTTTAAAGCTCTGACATAACCATTGATATCAGCTGGTCCTCTGAGCTGGTCTTCTATTAGATATGTATTGTGGGATGCATTGATGTAGTAATGTGACAAAGGCTGTGTCATGTCTTGGACAATTTTTTTGTGCTCTGGGTCAAAAATATCACATTCTGGGGACAACAAGTATTGAGTAAATCCATCAATTGCAAGAAAACCTTTCAACCGCCCTTCGTGAGAAAGCTCGTACCTGCGTATAATATCTAGACACATTTCTTCTGTTATGCGGGTCACTCCTTGCTCAGCCTCTAAAAAAAGCATGAGGTCATTGGCATCTAGATACTCTTTGTTTTTAGATATCTGCACAAGCAAGAAATAAACTTCAGGTCTTGTGCAAAGTTCACTGAATGCTTCACAAAATTCCTCTTTTGTTACTCGCGTTGTCAGTTTCTCTTTGCTCTTCTGGATTTCCTTAAATTTTAATCTAATCTTTGATTCCTTTAAGGTGGGGTTAAGTTTCTTTATTAGTTCCACAGATGTATCTTCTAACATTATGCCATTACCATCAACATCTGCTGCTTCGAAGACAGCCTTTAGCCAGGCAAACCGTGGGGTATTATGGCTGCTTTCCATCAAATCCAAGGGTTGTTTGCTACGAGAAACCAAGTACCTTAATCCTGATACCCAAATATTGGCCACATCAGCAGAATTGGCAACCAAGTCAAGGGACTCATAGTTTTCACCATGAATTACCGACAGCGCACAGTCCTCAGAAATCTGGTCTGCAAGTCCATTATTCCTGAACGTTTCTGTGTTCTTCCCTAGCCTGATTTCTTTTATAGCAGAAATATCAAGCTTGGCTTTCTCAAGGTCCTTCTTGGAAGGCTCCCAACGAAGAGCTTGCAGGTCAGGATCCAGAGTAAAAAAACGGTTATAAATCCGGGAATTTGGACGAACTTTCTTCAATTCACACCCAGCCTGCATAAAGCTGATACAGTCACTGGCGCTGCTTATTTTCTTCTCTGATGGCATGCTGCTGAAGGACACTGTTTTCTTTCTTCCACATTTTTGGTTTGAAGGATCCTGTGGAATAATTACATAAACCCAAGAATGAGTAAGTTTTCTTTGGTCATTCCACAAGTGCATAAATAATAAAGAAGATATGTTTATGCAAAGATAATTCATGTTCTTCTAAACCTCAAAACACAACATATTATCCCTTCCCACAATTCAGTTCCCTACTGAGCTATAAAATATACTGAGATATACAGCGACTTGACTGACTGCAGCATTAGGGATACCAAGTTTTCAGGAGTGACATTTACAACTACTAAGCTGCCTTCCAGGTCTCAGCAACTTGCTACAGCTGTGAGGTGGTGGTATCCGGTTCTATCATGTACATCTTCAAAACATATATATGGGAAGAAGGGTTTCATGGGAAGCTTCAGCACCTGGTTAAGGTCTGCATAAGCAGAAGTGGGGTGGATCTCACCAGGCTTTAAGAGATATCATGAATAAAGGAGGAACTTTGGGATGAAAAGGGATGAGGAAAGAGTCAGCCTATGTGGTAGGAGAAGGGGAAGAAGTCTCCAAAGCAGTGCTGGGAGGAGAGCCTGGGACAGGTCAGCATGCCTGTGGGGCACATGTGACAGCTTGGTGCTCAGCAGATGAGTGTCCTGCCTCAATTCTACCCCTTTTCTGCAACCTTGGACACCTCAAGCAAAACTAAAACAAAACCAAACAGTCATGAGTCAGATCCCTGAGATACACACCCAGGAGACTTTGGGCTTTCCTACTTGTGTTTTAGTGTCCTGTGCCAAAGGACGTTCTCACCGGCTGAAAAGCCCATCTCTGCTGCACGCACAACCACATGGCTCTCATGGCTGCTCTCGTGGGAGCCCCGCATACCCCTCTGCTCAGCCCTAACCTACTTCACACTCTCTTGTCTCCCCATTTGCTTTGAAAAGTAGCCATTCTGGTCATTTCTGTGTACTAGGACCACAAAACGCTGTGGGAAAATGGACAACTAGGCAAGAAACCCACAGCCTCTTTGTTTAGGGCATACATTCTAACTCCTCTTGAGAAAATACTTAGCCAGACACATGTGACTGTCTTTTCAACATCAACTACCTACTTGCTGCTGGATTTAAACCCAGCTGCCTGCAAAGCTTTCTGTAATTTTAGTGCAGCAACTAAATTTAAATCTTTTCCCACATATTATCAATTCAAAACATATCACAATAATTATAAATTGCAAATCATTCTTTTTTCTCTGTATGATTTCCATCTACTCCATTAGTATATAAACTATCCAACAGCTACCAAAAATATTTTTATTCAAGGCTGTAATTAATAGTGAAACACTTGTTAAAATTGCTTTGCCTCCTATTTCCCTAGCCACCAGCAATACTTTCCCAGTTCTCTGCCTTCTGCTGTTGAAAGGACTTTTGCTGCCTGGATTTCAAGTAGAAGAGGGGTCCCAAGGTGAGGAAATTTTGTTGCTGGGTGTAGGCAAACAGCCCTCCACCACGCTGCCCTCAAGCCCAGCCGTGAGAGCTGCACCAGGGACCAGATCCCGACAACCCCAGGGGACCTGCTTTGAGACACCAAAACCCCTGACTCCCAAATCCTTTGCAGCCTACCCTGCCCTACCTCAAGAGCTGGTTCCCTGCAGCTCCCATTTATCTGCTGTGTCACTCACCCTTCCTCAAGTCATACTCCCCTGCAAATCCTAAATGCAATCCCTGCTCTAGCAGTGCCCTCCATCCACCTATCGCTGTCTTTCTGCTGCTCCGCACTGTCCGTGCCCAAGCAGGACCTCCATGCAGCTCTCCCAGCCACAGAGCATCAGTCTTGGTGCTTGTAACGACATCTCCACTCCTTGTCTGCATGTTTGTATAGATACTTAGAGCAAATTAGTCAGTATAAAAGTTTCTAGAAAACTACTATTGTCATTCGCTCACTTCATTCAGTAACAACTGAAATATTTCCAAAAACCCAGCCCCTCAACAACTGGATTTAAAGGTATGGGATCTGCTGGGAACAAAATCAAAATCTCTAAACTTCTTCTGCTACAGATTTCTCATTAAGCTTATACAGCGACTTCTACTGACAAGAAGAACTACTCCAGGCATTCATTGTAGTACTTATGAGAATTAGTCTTAAAAAAATAGGAAGAAAGTGAATGAAGTGAGTGCCTTGGGTCAGCTACTTTTTTAATTACAGTTTTCTGCTAAAATATTCTGTTCCTGCATTAATATACTGCATTTTAATACACAGCTATGGCCATGAAAATATTCAAGCAATAGATGCTAATGAACACAAAGGAATGCAGATGATTACCCTGTGGGTTCTAGAAGAGCCTTTTCTTTCTTATTTCTTTAGGTTTACAGGAGCAATATTTAGATTTAAGATTGATGATTAATTATTTTTCTCATTTAGGAAGATGTATTAATGGCCTTTGAATCTGCAGTGATTCATTCCCTATCGGAGTGTGGTTCCTCAGGGCTAGACCTGGAAAACTTGTCAGAGAAACCTAACTGATTTAGCTACAGGTCTGCCATTTCGTCTTTGATAGAGAGGTGGGAATTGTTACGTAATTTTTTTTTCTGCAGAACAATAAAAGCCATTTATTTTTAGTTCCAAGACACCTGTGCTTTTTGATGAAAATAACCCATGGAATTAATCAGCTGTTTTTCGGTTATTAAGGTGGGAAAAAAACTAATTGGCCTCATCCACAATCAACAAAAGTTGCCTTTTAACATTCAGTCTTAATCTCTCAGGGATTTGAAAGGAATTAGATTATCC